CATATGGTTAGGATTCGCTCATGAATTAAAGATCAGACCGTTGGACTGATACTGACCCACTCTATCTAATATTGTAATCTTTCGATACAGTAACTACATGAGATACCTTTTTTCTATCGTTATCATACAATAGGGATGATGACAAAAATTTTTTTTTCTTCGTTTTTCAGGTAGATTATCAAAAAGTATTGGACACGTATTTTTTCTTTTTTCACATAATATAATTATTGCAGAGATATATTGATTTGAAAATTCGCATGACGTCACGTTTGAGTACACTTATAAGTGAAAATTCACTCAAAAGTGACGTCACGAGCCCCTACTCCCAAACTTTGACGCGCTATAACTTTGTCATTTGTTGGTTGATTGCCCAAAGAAAAAATACGTGTCTATTATTTTTGATCATCTAACTGACGGGCTAAATAGAATTTCGTTTACTGTACCCCGTCATCACCCCTATTCACTATGAATAATATAATCGTCAGTACATACGGCATCACAAACTTGATCGATGACAGAAATCAGTTTCACTTACATCACGTTACGCCAAGCAAAGTCCGCCGACTCATCTGTTTGTCTGAATGTGTGAGATTGGCTCAAAACAGGATTTCTGGAGATCGGTTAGATTATTTCTTTTTCCATGAAGGAAGGAGACCAAGAACGAAGCGAGAGTTGGTCAAAAGTAATATAATAAACAAAAATTATCATCATCAGCCTATTAATGTCCCCACTGCTGGGGCACAGGCCTTCCCTATGGATGGAATAGGGAGATTGGGCCAAGTCATCCGGATTCCACGAAACCCATTCCGGCAGGCGAGGGAGCACTGTTGGGTTTTTAGTGGGTGCATTTTCCCAACATTAAAAAAAAGGGAGATTGGGCCATGACCCACCACGCGGGCCCAGTGCGGATTGGTGGGTGCTAACGACTACAGATGCAGCCGGGACCAACGGCTTAACGTGCCTTCTGAAGCACGGAGGGGCTCGAGATAGTAAATGTTTGGTCACCCATCCAATGACCGACCATTGCGAAAGTTGCTTAACTTCAACGATCGCAGCCGAACGCGCTAACCCACTTGCGCCATCGAGCTCCTCATTAACAATGATTATCAGTTGACAGAAACTGCTTATCGATTCCATTGCTTTCTTTACTGGTCATAATCATGAAAGAAATCATATGAATTTTCTTACTTTAATTTATGTATAATATTTAAATGCGTTAAAAGGCGCATTTAATGAAAGCTTTTAGTACCTTTTTTTATCCCGACACGTCGTCTTGGTTACACCGGTCGTGATCACAGAACGACTGATGCATTGCTTTTACATCTTCGCTTCGGATGATTAAATAAAGTAATGAGCACTTTACTTTTAACCCGTTCAAAGGTTATGTTTATAATGCAACGCGAAAGTTTCAAAGTGTATTCTATATATGTGTTATGTTTAATGCATATTGCGTAGCAATTCTCAGTGAACTGCCGGCACCACGGTGGGCGCCATTAAGCCGCCGGATGGAACTTTCCGGAATCGAAATTATTCCATCCTTTGTTCTCCGCCACGGAAATTATTTCGCAATTAAAATTGTAAAACTCTGTTTGAGCCCTCTTTAGCGGAAAGCTATTAGTTAATTGAAAAAGCAAAGAAATACGCTACCGGTTTCTTGACAAGTGGAGCTACCATATTCAAAATTGTATTGTTTGGTATTAACACGATCTATAGTCAATTTAATTACTGAATGTGGTCATAAATAGGAAAACTACATATTTAAAGAAATTACAAAAAGTTAAATAATATTTCTCTCTAAAAATTGGTCTTGTTTGTAAACTAAAATGTAAGAAGAAGAAGAAAAGAAGAAAGAAATTTTATTGACCATAAAGTATTGTTACACATAAATAAAAAAAAAGAAAATTTTTTTGGCCAACTAGGTCCCTGCCTCAGCTTGATACTACAGCAACACCAGGGCTGCTGCAGCGCTGATGATTCTGGCAGGGCCTAAGGTTGACGACACAGATTATTATTTTTAAACAATAGTAAAATAAACAACCACACACATAAAAAAAGATAATAACAACGTAGGCTGAATGTTTTTCACCATCCTTAGCCTTACAAAAAAAAATGGGTGCGTGTACTTATGTAGGCGCGTGAGAAGTTATCCTTCTTTGGCATCGTTTAAAATTAGTTTTTAATTGCATGCACTTGTATGAAACTCAAACACGTATTCCGAATATAAAAACTAGAAACATGTGGATAAATATTATAAATATGAATACCTATAACTGTTACTTTATTACAAAAAATAAAGATGTGGTTTTTGGTTCTACTACACCAATGGTCAAGAGATGGCGCTGTAGTCTCCTGAATCGCGCTTTGGTTCCGTTGTTCCAGATTAATAAATACTTTTGATAGGCCTTCACAATGCAGTCGTTAGCACCCACTAAATGGAGATTCTATTTCTATTTTGTTGGTAGATTTTCTTAATGTGCGGTAAACACAAAAGTAACAGCATGAAGTTGGTCGCTAAAGCGACTTTTTTGTGTTACAGTGATGCGCGCGCATCTTAAAATTTCACTCTTATAATTTTTTCATAACGCGCCTAAAGAAGTATAACTTCAAAAATGTAAAATGTTTTACATTCAAAATATTATCTGTTTTCGGTGGACCTCCATCTGCTTCTTTTCAGTCATATTCTCAAATCTTGACAAACAATGTGAAGATTTAAGCCAAAGTTGGAATTTTTCGGTGTGGCTGAGACCCCATGGGGTCCAACTAGACCAGTTTGGGAATCACTGGGCTAGTCGATGTCTTGAATTCAGCCTGGTAAAATGAGTAACGGTAATATGAACCTTGGGTTTTTTTTTATATCCCATACTGACGAATTGTGTTCCCATGCTAACTTTCATTCCCTTCAAATATTATTTTCGCGACAAAAGAAACCAATTTCCATAACAAAATGGCCTGAAAGCTTAATCAATAGACGTCAGAGTTACGTTCATGACATAGGTATGTATGAATGGATTACATGGCAACATTTGAGACTCTAAATCAATTTCAGTTTTTATATAAAAATAATTCATTTCCAAAATCGCACAGAGCCCGGGTGTTGGTAGAGCCCAATCTCATTATTTAATTAATATTGGATAAAATTCAAAATTCAAAGCACTTGTGAATGTCCAAAAACTACGCCATCGGTTCGCAAATCTACGGCGGGAGACCTTGTACTGAGAAGAACCGGCAAGGAACTCAGCAAGGGCTGTTTTTTCTCCCTGTATTATATACAGAGTCGTCAAATTGAAAAATGATTCCAATATGAGATAACCCATGACGTCACTTTCCATTACAAAAGTAAATGATATAAAAATTATGACTATAAAATAAAAAGTATAAAAAACTGATTAAACAATGTTTAAGTTTAGGAATGTTTAGGATTGCCGTGTCCTAATGTTAAGGTATAAAAAATGTACGGTTAAAGTTAAGTAAGATAATAAAGGACGTATTAATAGGCTGATTAAAAAAGTAAATCATTTATTCCTCACCATAATTTAATACCTGTAGTAATAAATATTACATATGTAATATCGTTTATTCAATTTAGACTGTTACAAGTGTATTAGTGTATGTTTTTTCGACGAAATGTTACGTCATCAGTTCGCTTATCAACAGCGGGAGACCTTGTATTAAGAAGTAGTTTTACAGATATTGGCAAGCAACCTAACAAGTGGCGACTATTGAAATTTGTTTTCAATTAATAGGTTAACAAAAAATTAAGTATTATTCGGTCGTGGCTGTCCGCGCCACGACCTGAAAGGGTCTCCTGTGTTTTGATGTCGGTCTGTGTTTGTTAAAAAGCGACCGCGACCCGCTACCCGTGGCCGGTAACGACACGTTTAAATAAATAAACAACCTGAAATCAAATCTAACGAGCGCTCGGGTGCTGCGGAGCTGCTCAGCTCCGTGTGACACTTTGATTTCATTTTTATTTTACAGTAATAAACCTAAATATTATGTTGGTTTTTATTATTTGTTAGTATAGTTTCAGACATGGATCCCATCTGGGTAAAAGCCTCCTCCATTGCTTTCCACTTTTCTTTATCTTTTCCCGCTTTCAGCCAGTCTTTGCCTGCCACAGACACAATATCGTCGGACCATCGTTTTCTGGGTCTGCCTACTTTCCTTTTGCCTTTTGGTCCGGTCCATCCGGTGGACTTGAGGGTCCAAATTATCAAATAAATGCTGATATTAAATCCAGACGATTAGAAACTACAACGATGATTAGTCAAAAACTAAGTAGGGCTTGTAATATGGAAACTAAATATTGCAAAAGGTATAAGGTGAATTTCATGCCATAAAAATAAAATATTATCCATTCCGTAAACACAATTTCAGAAACCCACTTACAGCATTAGCTGTCTGCAGATTTTTTTGAAAAATAAGTGTTAAGATAGATCATCTTCTTTCATAATCATACACGGTTAATATGCTTTATCTTCACTCCAGTTTTAAATAGGAAAAGTTTTTGTTTAAATATTACAGATTTTTAACGCACTAACAAAAAGAATCTACACGACGAAAATGTTATTATTATCATAGCACACAAACCTTTTGAAAACTTCTTTTAAAGATTACATTTAGAAATCAATAACTGTGTCAATTCACCACTTGAATTCCCGTTACTTTAGCTTATATATTATTAAGCAAGGGATCGAAGTCATTTTAAAGATAACTTAAGGCGGACTCGTAAACAATTTTCTATTTATACTAAAAGCTGAGACGGTTCATATTTTGGGGGAAAAAGGCAAAAAAAGGTTAATCATTTTGCTGAAAAACATTTTGCTGGATAAAATACCGAGGATAGACACCGCGGCAATTACCGTGACCGGTTGAGTGCACATTCATAAAAGGAGAACGAATTATTTTACAAAAATGCGTTTCGCAAATCTTATGAAATCATCGCAGTGCATTAAAATCGTCGAGTCGTTGCAAATTGTAATAAACACCAATCGACTTACCGGTATTATGTTTCTCGCGGCGCAGGAAACACTAATCACACACTACACGCGACACGTCTGCTCCCGTCGGCCACCGCGACACCACTGACTGGCAGAGAGGGAGGCACCGCTACCCCTCCCCTCCCTCCTCCCAAACACGATGCGACCCTCTCGATTTTGCGAGCCGAACTGCAATAGAGGGTTATTATCTCGTAGTGTGAAATAGCTTGACTGTATTGAGATAATCTGCTTTATATTGATTGAGTCCGTATCGATATAACTTTCGCCACTTAGAATAATAACGTAGTAGCCTAGTACGCGCACAAAATAGGCGCAAATCATAGTAAGCCATTTTTGGCTTAGTTCGTTTCACGCACTGTCAGTATTGAAGGTCAAGGTCACGAAAAAAAGTCGCCCAAGTGCGTGTCGTGCCACGCGCAGTGTAGGGTTCAGTAGTTGCCTGTCGTTACCACAATATATTTGAGTAGGAGTTTTTATTTTCAGTATTGGAAATAAAAAGAAAAACAAATTTTAAATAGTTTTTAGGGTTCCGTACCTTAAGAGGGAAAAACGGAACCCTTTTTTGGCTGTCCGTCTGAACTTAAATTCGTATCTAATACTACTGTCCCTTGGAGCTGTGAAAAAATCAAACTTCTAAGCCAAAGCAATCAAAAAATACAGCCGTTTATGCCGCAAATTTTCGAATCTCGAATCTGATGACTCACGAGAATCAAAACCTACAGGGTACTTCCCGTGAACTTAGAATCTTGAAATTTTGTACGACGTAACGTCTTATAGTACAGATAAAGGAAAAATTGCGAAAACCGTAAATTTTTAGTTACATCATATATAATAAAAAATATTTTTGAAAAATCAGGTTTGTACGGAACCCTCGATGCGAAAGTTCGACTCGCACTTGGCCGATTTTTTTATTGAAGTGAAATTTATTTAGGCATGCTTGACTTGGGGGGTAAACTGACGAATGTGTGACGAGTTTTGCATTATGCGCGTTGTCGAAAACTCCTTTGTTCATAATAGAAAGAAAGAAAAAGCTTTTATTGACCTTACACAAGTATGTAAAAAAAACAATAAACATAGCAACAAAAATAAAATAACAACAGTGAGCAACACATATTGTTGCTTGAGAGAGAAAAAGCCAATCAGGACCCTGCCTCAGCTTAATGCTGTTATAGTAGGAATGGAATATTCCCACCATAACAGCGCTGGTATTCTGGCAGGGCCTGTACGAGATTGCTAGAGACAACAGTATACATTATAAAATGGAGTAAAACACCTATAAATATAATAAATAGTATACATAAACCGAGACATAAATAATTTGAGTTTATAAGATAGATAATAAATTATATTAAAAAAATCAAAAAACCCGACTGCTTAATTATACTTCAAATAAAAACTGAAAAGAAAAAAACAAGTCCAGTAGTCTATAATTCTGTTAATAAGGAACAAAGCTGCTTTAACAGTCGGGACCCATTAGATATTCAAGAATACATAATATTTTTCAACAATGGGTCCCGACTGTTTAAGTAGCTTTGTTCCTTATTAACAGAATTATAAACTACTGGACTTGTTTTTTTCTTTTCAGTTTTTATTTTAAGTATAATTAAGCAGTCGGGTTTTTTGATTTTTTAAATTTACCTTTTTTTATTTCACACTTTTTAGTTAGTTAGTATTTTAAGACGGTATATACCGTAGTCTTGTTACTTCAATAAGGGAATTAATATCGCGGGAATTATTAAGTACCTTGCGTCGGTCTAAAAGATTGATTTATTAAGACATATAAAGACTTTACCAGCGGGGTCAAGGCTACAGATGGGCCTCAATTTTCGCAAAAATGTGTGAAATTTAATCAAGTCGTTACATAAATATCTCTAATGTATGTAAATTTTATAGTAAACTAGCACTTGCTGAAAAATTCATCTTTTGTTTATGTTTTTTTTTAATAGTTTAGCAGTAAATATAAAATTCATTTACTTTTATTCGTCGACTATTTAAAATTGGCAGTGGCTGCATTGTCATGTCAATGCCGGACGTCTAAGATTGTGATATACACAAATTCAGTGTCAGTCCCTAGTCTCATAATTTGATATACCTTCATAATTCACAGAAACCCAATATGTAGATGCCAGAAGTTAACTTCAAATGTTTTTAATCACCCTATATACAATACCAATCAATGACGTTTATGTCGCAGGTTGAAGAAAGCAGTAATTCCCGTCTGTTGTTTTGGACAACAATGGCAACTGCCTTAAATCACTAAATTAAATAATTATGCAATCACCAAAGCAAAGTTTATAATATTTGATTAAACTAAAGGCGCATAATAAAATTTTCATAACGTTAGAGCACCATATCAATCTCATTTATTGTCAATTTATAGTTCTCTTTGTAGTTTTCTTTTAAAGCGTTTACATTTAACAGGTCAAAGACTTTGTGTTCGACCCTTTTTGATTGATAATGTAAAGCTCGAATAAAGAGTACTCCCAGTAGTGCAATCATGGCAATTATTTTCCAATTTTTTTTTTGTTTAAAAAAACCGAATAACGTATCACTTTTAAGCACAAATGCTAAGTAACTTTGACAAATATAATCAAATAAACCTATTACTTACTTTATTTTTATATCTTTTTCATCAATTAAATACTTATCTTATCCTAACTGTCTATACTAATATTATAAAGAGGCAAGATTTGTATGTTTGTAACAAATAATCTGTCAAACTACTGAACCGGTTTCAAATACTAATTCATCACAAAGTAGCTACATTATTTATTATAACATTTTTCTTTATTTAAATACATTTTGTCCGAGTGACATAGGCTATATTTTATCCCGATAAATAAATTTCGCCCGTACAATGCCCGGGTGGATCACTAGTAAGTATAATATAATATTATAGATGCAAAAGTGAGTTTGTGTGTTGCGCTTCCGTGCCCTAATAGCTAAATCGAATATAATGAATTCCCATGTAGAAGTAGATGGGAACTTGGTTCTTAGCTACAACATCGCAATACTTATAGGCGTAGGGTGATGAAGGGGGTGATTTACCTATAAAAATCTACATTATTTTCTTTGAATTTTGCAGAATTATTACAAAACCAATATTATCGCGAGCTGATTAATAAATACAGGGATTCCAATAAGTATGTACTTATTAGCGAAAAATGGGTTATTTGTCATTATATTAAGTAAACCTTTTCTGTAACATTAAGTAATATCGTTAAAAAAATGAAAATCAGTAAAATTCTGAGTTTTTCATTAAAATTCAATAATCATAATAACTATTATGATAATATATTTTTGATCATTTAATAAGAAGGAACTGTATCACAGTTTTATTGTTAGCACTTCGTATAGGATCAGATACTGTGAATACCCCTTTTTTTTCTTTTACATAGTACACCGCGCTATCACTTTGTCATCGTTGTAACTTTTTAAATATTTGTCGAAATGACAAAGTGTAAAAAGCAAAGTTTATCGTCTTTAAATATCAAAAGCGATAAAAGTATTTGTTTTGATAAAAATGATTTGTTAATACAAAATGTGCATTTTGGAAATAGATATCAAATAATATTTTAGTTTTGATTCACTATTTTAGCGGTAATGACTTACACATTAAAAATAGATATATGGTGTCACGGACTTTTTTTTAGAACTATTTAAGAGATAGATATTCACTCTACATAACATTCATGTAACTTTTATTGTTTTTGCAGTGCAGGCCAAAATGGCTCGCAGATGGGAGATTTTTATCCGTCTTATGTGACACTTATTGTTGTATATTGGCCAATTCACTCAATAACTACATAAATTAGTATATATATGTAATTATCATATATGAGCTATATTACTGTTAAGTTTCATTAAAACCTATTCAGTATTTTTTAGGTGAAAGAGTAACAAAGATCCATACAAACGTAAGATTGAAATTAAAAGCGTAAGTGGTTAACATACAACTTTAAAGAGTTGTAGATTCTAAACAATCATATAAAATGAAAAATGGTGTTAGAAGCCTAAATATGATTTTTGATTATCTAGACAGTGATACCCCACTCGATATATTTTGCCAACTTATTTTTTTTACTTCGTCACAATATGGCGTCTAATTTTGCCCATATTGAATTTTGATTACTATCATATCTTTAGTAGCACTCCCATGATTGAGACGAATCGATTGATGTATGAATCATCAAAATCGGTCCAGGCGTTTGGTCTCTAGTGTGCCACAAAGGAACAAACATACATATATAGACTGTTAAACACATAACCCTGTCTGCGCGTCGCGCTTCGCGCTCTTGCATTGCGCAGCCGGGTAATAAGAATTAAGGCCGCAAGTGCTATCCACGCGCCCACCCACACAGCGACAGCCGCGCTCAGAGTGCAATATCTGAACGCAACCCCCTGCGGCCTGCCTGACATTGACAATGACAATTAAAATGCTAAGAAGTTAACCTGTCTATTTTGCCACGTATCACTTGCACAACGCGTTTTCATTTACCACGCCACATAGTGCCACGTACATCGGAACATCATTTTGCTACGTCAAGCAAAGATCGTTTGAGAGACAAGAAAGCAAAAACATGCATTTGGTATAAAAATATTCGGAGGTATCCAACAATGTCCCGTCATACTACACCGACGCCAGTGCTAAATCTGTTGCTGCCACAATTGTGCCAATACTTCAAACCCAAAGCTTTACAAGACGTGATAAATTAGGTGATCAGTTACGTATTGTTACTACTCTTGAGCTGTAGATTAAAATAAAACTTTTTAAGGTTCTTTTTAAACGTGCTGATGGTTTTCAGATCGCAAAACGGAGGTGGAAGGTCGGTCCAGCACCTTGTGGCCGCGAACTTAAAAGACCAAAGAAAGGCTCTTGTATGATGTGTAGGCGTTTTGAAAATTGGCGTACACACTCGTCTAGGATATACACTATGATCTTGAGCCCATGTGAGTTTATTATAGAAGTAAATCGGCTTACCAGATGAAAAGATTCCCAAATAGTAGGCTGGCAAGGTAAAGTTTTCGCCGTGCCTCCATTTTCAGTGAGTTAGAACAGTTGAGAAATGGAGTCACAT